TTTTAGAGGGAGAGCATCTAAAATGAAGTGTTCAATTAATGTTCAATGGACAAATGATGTATTTTAGCAGACTGTATCTTAGGTGCTCAGAGTACCTGATTAGGGCATGTAAGACTAAAAATCATATAAAAACATTGGCATTTATTAATCTTTTTCTACTTAAAATGCACAGATAATGCATTTTTATACCAAGCACACATGTAGAGTTTAGGGCAACAATTTTATTGGTAATAGAACCCTGCTAATTCATCAGAAGTCACTGTTTTCTCACATATGTTCCTGTGTTCCTTTCCCTGGGATCTCCTCCCAACCCACTCCCTTGCATTTCCTGCCTCACTGCCTGTTTTCCTTCTAGTAGAAAGGGTCAGCTGCAGCACGAACAGTTCAGCATACGCTACGGCTTTCCTTGAGACACCTGGGTACTGCTCCTGGGCACCTGGCCAGAAGGATCTCCTTGGAGCCAAAAAGTCAATAACTGACCTAGAAAATACACTAGGAATGTCATGGTCTATGAATTTCTAAAATGAACTTTGTGACATCATGCAAAGGCAAAGGGGTGGGGAGGAAATTATTTGGCTTTTAGCCAGACAGACCCAGGTTCAAATCTCAGTCTTACCCTTCCAATCTATGTGTATAACCTTGGGGAAAGGACTGGAAATCCCTGGGCCTCAGCTTCATCATCTGTGAAATTGGAATAACAAGAACTGTGGTGAGAACAAACGTATTCAGCCCTTTGTAGGTGCTCGGTGAAGTAGCTTCCTCTCTGACGACCCCTTTGTCCTGCCAGAGCTCAAGCATCTGTAACATCAGGAGTCCACAGGAGGCTGAACAATGACTGAAGGTTAGAAAGTAAGATTAAAGAAAATGGGTAAAGGAATGGTCAACATTTCATTTGGAAGGGAGAGTGCTTAGTCTGAACAGAGAGGGCAGTAAGTAACTATGGCTATCACTTATAACACCCACTACCTTGGCTCGGCATTTATAAGCGCTGTGAGGAACGTAATATTATAAGCTCCATATTGTGAGGAACACAGGTTTTATAACTTGTCCAAGGTCATCCAGCTAAATGCAGAAGTGGAGATTCAAACTCCAGTCTGACCCTGCTTTGCACTAGCTTCAGATTCTCCTCGTCAGCAGCTGGAGATGGCATGGGGGCGCTGGCTCCAGAGGAGCGGGCGGGAGACAAGGAAGATGGCTGTCAGCCCGTATCAGGGGCAGGCAGGGGCCAGGGAAGATAAATGCAGTCTCTCTTTGGCTAGGACTCCTTGAAAAGGGAATCTCCAGGCATCGGCTGCCTTATGTGTAGGCCTGCCTGAAGGCAGGGAGAATCTATTTTCCCAGGAAGAAAATGGGCTTGTGAGCACCAGGCTAGGGACTGATCTGGGGACCACACAGGCAGACCTAAGCACCCCACCCCTCCTCACTGAGGGGGACTCAATGGCTGGCACACAGTTGAGTCCATCCCTCTACTTTTTTCCACATATTCTATTGTTATTGCAGAGATTCCCTTTGCCTTACACTGGCCATTTCCAAGAAAGAGTTTATATAAAATGAAATAAAAACACTAAAATGTAAAAATGAAGTTTGTATAGTCTTAATCTTGGAACCTCTCCATTTTCTTATCCACAGCACAGATTTGATAACTCCTATAACTCTGGGCAAGGGCCTGTGGTTATTAGCCTTTTCAAGTGATCTCAATTCTTATTTTCATGCAACGTCAGCACTGGCCAAAGAAGCGACCACGAGCAGGCAGGGATAGGCCACCTTCCACTCTGCTACTGCTTTGAGTTGAAGCCAAGGCTTTTGTTCTCCTTGCCCTGATTCTTCACATTGCTGAGGATTAGTGACTGCAGCTTCATCTCATGTCTACCGTCCACTTCCTCAACAGAGCCACATTATGCTTTCCCATCTAGGCAACTATGAACCAGAACAGAGGTTCTCTCCCCATGTACTTTTTTCTTTTCTGGAGACATGGAATAGATCAGTTCAGTAGACTCAAGCTTTGCTCTGACTCTCACAGAAAGGCCTATCACTCCCTTACCTATGGGTCATCACTTTGAGCCATAAACTTTTTCTTGAAAAGGAGTCCCAACAGCTCACCAAAAATTCCGTTTGTATTTAACTTAGATTGAGAACCTTATGTTTAGTCCATGTTCCTAAACTCCACACCTGAATTTGAACCACAGGACTTAAATTGATTTCTAACACTGTTAAACCTTCTAAGTGAATCTAAGCAAAGAATACCAGTCCCACATCACCCTCCCCACAAGGTAACATGGAAAAACAAAGCCATGCTGACAAAGGAGGGGGCCACAGTTTGATATTGTCCGGTCAATGTCTCTTGGCCTCAGAATGCTGCCACTTCTCGCAGTTCCAGCCCTCGGCTGCGGTCCACTCGGAGTAAGTGAATCCCTCTGCTGAAACTTGCACACAGTAAGGAGATGGTGTCACCAACAGCCAGGGAAGTCAAAGGTCCTGATC